AAATGACGTGCGCTGACATGCTGCAATACCACCCCGGCCGATGGGGGTGGACCAAGCCCCGGCGATCCAAGATGGCGCCCTATTCAAATGAATGGTTGTGCTCAGTGGCGCTTTGTGACGGCATGGGGGCTGAAAGATTAGCGGAAGTCGCCTGAAACTCGCAAAGATCTATGGGAAACTCGCCTGTATTTGGGCATCGTCTGGTCCTCCCGGTTCTGCCCAGTGTATTATCTCCCATAATGCGTTGCGCTAAACACGCGTGTGTGGGTCTCACACCGGGTCTCACGCACGTGCACAGAGGGGCTCGGCCGCGCTCTGACCAATCAGAGCAGTTCATCAGAGCGGGAGTTAGAGCGAAAGCCAGAGGAGCAGAGTTTGTGGCACTAAAGTGTGGATTTAAACAAAACCGAAGGATTTAAGAAGAAAAAAAGTTCAGGATGACAAGGGACACTAAAATCCCCACAAAATCCGATGTTTATTAAAGCTGTAGGTTCTCTGTCAGCTGAGGTCGAGCTGTTTTAATATGCATTGAGTTCTATGGGGAAAATTTCTGGGTAGCCCACGTGAATTTAGTCTGGTTCAGTCTGCAGTACCGCTAGAATCCCCTGAGCACGTGAGTTATTCAGCTACAAGCTAGTAATACCCTATCCAGTTAATATAATACATCCATGGGGTGGACCCAGAAGTAGAATTAGCCAATGCTAACATATAGCGTTGGCAGACCTCTCAAAAACGTCCTTACAGGATGGACCAAAAGTTGGCCCTTGGCCCAAAGCTCCGTTCCACATGTGTGTCAATGCTGAGGGGGGTGATTTTTTTTGGTCCACTCTAGTTTACTTGCGGGGAATTTTTGAAGTCTCTCATTCAAATGAATGGAGCTGCTCCGGCTGACACATGCGCAGATGTTTTTTCACAATTTTCTTGTGGGCGGGACCACTCGCGGCCATCTTGGATTGCTCCATGAAAGCACTTTTCATGGCCAACTCCTATGAACGGCGGAGATAGGCGTGACTGTCCATTAATATATACAGTCTATGGGGTGGACCCAGAAGAAGAATTAGCCAATTCTAACATATAGCATTTGTCATAACTTGGCTCAAGGCCGTGACTAATGTGGACGCAGACAACCCAAAATGGAATACTTAAAGGGCGTTTATTAAACAAAGATTAACCCCAGTATATCAACGTAAAAATAATAATGAGATGTGAGTGTCTGTAAGATCAGTGGTGCATGCGAGTGAATGGTTGTGTGTTCGTATGGTGCGATGTGAAGTGTGATGCGGAACAAAACCATAACAAGAACAGAAAACGAAGTGGTGTGGCACAGGACGCAGGCTGAGAGAGAGTGAGGCTGTCAGCAGGCCGGTCCATAAATAGGCGTGGCGCGTCGGGCCCTGACGCACCACGCTCCCAAGGTCCGCCCACAGCTCCACCTGTACAGAGAGGTAGACGGCAGTACAGAGCACGACCACAGAAAGGAGGAAGGGGTTGTGACAGATTGGCAGACCTCTCGAAAACGTCTTTACAGGATGGACCAAAAGTTGGCTCTTGGCCCAAAGCTCCGTTCCACATGTGTGTCAATGCTGAGGGGGGTGAATTTTTTTGGTCCAGTCTAGTTTAGTCATAGCCTGGTTGTACCACACCTTAGTACAAATTACATTTCATACTAAGGTCTGGATTTGCTCCATTGAGCTCTGTTTACAGGTGGGAGGGGTTAACTCCTTTTGCAGATTGAAACGATTGGATCTGAGTTTACCGTGACGTATGTAATGCGCCCGAGTGTGTTGTTAGCATTTAGCATTTAGCCTAGCTTTAGCCATCTCCTTTGCTGCTAACGGAGCCCGTGGGGAGTAGCGCCACAATCTTGACCAGCGATTACATTTTCTAAACATTCCTCTTGTTCCTGCTTCAATTTCTTGATAGAAACAGACCAAATGACTTTACTATCGCATTCTTCGCCATTGCCAAACTACAACCTGCCCGTTCGGCACAAACTCTTGACGTCACCGGCACCGAGCTACAACACCCGCCTTCCGCGGCTCTCTGAGTAGCCAGTCGAAATACGACCGATTGTATTCGCTAACACAGGGACCAGACCCAGACGCTACATGCAGTGAAATGATGATTGAGCAGAGTGTACGGATGGCTATGGCCAGGCTAGTTTACTTGCTTTGAATTTTTGAAGTCTCTCGTTCAAATGAATGAAGTTGCGCCGGCTGACGCATGCGCAGATGCGGTTTTTCACAATTTTCTTGTGGGCGGGACTACTCGCGGCCATTTTGGATTGCTCCAGTAGAGCACATTTTTTGGCCCATTAGTTAGAACAGCGGAGATAGGGGTGACTACGTCCGTTAATATATACAGTCTATGCTATGAAGCAGAGTTTGTGGCACTAAAGTGTGGATTTAGGAAAAAACACAGGATTTAAGACGAAAAAAGTTCAGAATGACAAGGGACACTAAAATCTCCACAAAATCCAACCACCTTTGTGAAAGCTGTAGGTTTTCTGTCAGCTGACGTCCAGCTTATTTTACATTGAGTTTTATGGGGAAAATTTCTGGGTGTGAAATTAGTCTTGCAGTACCCAAGCCCCAGCGATCCAAGATGGCGTCCTGTTGAAGTAAATGGCTTGTGCTCAGTGGCGCATGTGCCACCATGGGCGCCAAAAGATTAGCGGAACTCGCCTGTATTTGGGCTTCGTCTGGTCATCCCGGTTCTGCGCAGTGGACAACCTCCCATGATGGAGTGCGCCAAATACGCGTGTGTGGCTCTCGTGCACGTGCATAGAGGGGCTCGGCTGCCCTCAGCGCTAAACAGCGCTGCTGATCAGAGCAGTGGTAGAGCGGAGTCAGAGCAGGAAGGAAACGAGCAGAGTTTGTGGCAGTAAAGTGTGGATGTAAATAAAAAGAATGATTTAAGAAGAAAAAAAGTTCAGGATGACAAGGGACACTAAAATCCCCCAAAATACGACCTTTATGAAAGCTGTAGCTGTAGCTGAGGTCGAGTTGTTTTAGTTTACATCGAGTTCTATTGAACTTTTTAGTCTGCAGTACCACGGGCGCCCCCTGTGCCTTGTTATTATTATAGATCTATGGCACTACCCCAGACACCTATAAGCTAGTAATACACTATCCAGATATTATAATAGATCCATGGGTTCAGTGTGCAATGTATTTTACAGTATCTAGTTTTGAATCTGTTTTGTGTATACATAAATCAGGAATAAGCAACACTTCAGGTAAGCCAACAAAGATAGCCACATCTATAGAATGGGAACATATTGAAGGTGAGTCAGCTGCAGCAGTAAAATCTATTGATAAACAAAGTTCCTTAAGTGAAGATGTCGATAGAGAGAGGAGCCGTCTGCACCGAGCTCAGTGAAGCTGACATACACACACACACACACTGCAGATGGAGACTCTTGACACACACACACACTGCAGATGGAGACTCTTGACACACACACACACACTGCAGATGGAGACTCCTGATACACACACACACTGCAGATGGAGACTCCTGACACACACACACACTGCAGATGGAGACTCTTGACATACACACACACACTGCAGATGGAGACTCCTGACACACACACACACTGCAGATGGAGACTCCTGACACACACACACACTGCAGATGGAGACTCTTGACATACACACACACACTGCAGATGGAGACTCCTGACACACACACACACTGCAGATGGAGACTCCTGACACACACACACACTGCAGAGGGAGACTCCTGACACAAACACACTGCAGAGGGAGACTCCTGACACAGACACACACTACAGATGGAGACTCCTGACACACACACACACACTGCAGATGGAGACTCCTGACACACACACACTGCAGATGGAGACTCCTGACACACACACACTGCAGATAGAGACTCCTGACACACACACACTGCAGATGGAGACTCCTGACACACACACACACACTGCAGATGGAGACTCCTGACACACACACACTGCAGATAGAGACTCCTGACACACACACACTGCAGATGGAGACTCCTGACACACACACACTGCAGAGGGAGACTCCTGACACACACACACTGCAGAGGGAGACTCCTGACACACACACACTGCAGATAGAGACTCCTGACGCACACTCACACTGCAGATAGAGACTCCTGACGCACACTCACACTGCAGATGGAGACTCCTGACACACACACACACTGCAGATAGAGACTCCTGACACACACACACACACTGCAGATGGAGACTCCTGACACACACACACACTGCAGATGGAGACTCCTGACACACACACACACTTGCTAAACTTAACAATCATTCACATTTGGAAAGTCCTTAAAGACGACTGCTGTTGTTGAGCAAAGTAAAAATACATTAATATCACGTGACTCAAGTTACTGTGCTTTTACACTGTTAAGTTGTGGAATCTGACCTAACATGAACATCCAAGGAATCAGATTTGATGAATGTAAGACCTCTGTTTTTTATATTTATGAACTTTTAACCCTTTACAAGCCCTTCCCCCGCAGCCTTAGATCCTCGGGCAGGTCCCTGTTGACTGTTCCAAGGTCGAGGCTCCGGACGAAAGCTGACCGAGCCTTCTCTGTCCGGGCTCCTCGAGCACCATCAGTATCCTCTTTTAAATCACTTCTTAAAACCCACGTTCATCAAACAGCTTTTAAATGTTAGTTTTAAACTTCTCATGTGGTATTTTACTGTTCCACTCTGTCTTTGTTTACCTGTTTTCTGCTGTATTTATTTTTGATCGGACTGTTTTACTGCCTTAGGCTGACCCTGCAGAGCTTTCTAAACCCCTTTTTTTAAAAAGTGCCATACAAATATTGATTTTTCATTATTATTATTTTATCTGTATTGTTTGGACTAAGTATTAGCATCTGACGTCTCTGTTCTAAGGTACTTTGCTACATCATGTCTTCTTTTGTTCTGTCTAAACTGGGAAAGTGGTTGAGATCCCTTCGTTGTCGCATGAGTAGAATCCATATCAGCCTCGCACCTCCCTCCACCTCCATCTCCTCCCTCCACCTCCATCTCCTCCCTCCACCTCCATCTCCTCCCTCCACCACCATCTCCTCCCTCCACCTCCAGTTCCTTCCTCTATCAACCTCCAGCTCCTCCCTCCACCTCCAGCTGATCCCACACCTCCAAACATCTGCTGGGAAAAGCATTACATTAGCACAAGCCTTAGATAGAGACAGCTCCAAGAATGAGCAGAGGTCATGGCCATCCAGCACCAAGGAGCACAGAGGAGGAGCACAGAGACCCAGAGGAGGAACACAGAGGGCCAGAGGAGGAGCACAGAGGGCCAGAGGAGGAGCACAGAGGGCCAGAGGAGGAGCACAGAGACCCAGAGGAGGAGCACAGAGGACTGCTACATTTGCAGAGTTACTTTCTCTCCGTTGTTTTTATTCATGTCAAAGAGGAAGTACTTATGTCACATGTTTTCAAAGATCTCATACATTTTACAATTAGAAAAATGAAACTCTGGGCTGAAGTCTGGACTAAAACTACTGTAGTATATGTCCTATGTGTATAATATGTCCAAAGATCTTTCAAGGCCACTCTTCCCAAAGGCTGGAATCAAATAATTAGACAACATTAATAAAGATAAAAAACTTTCACCGTTCTGTGTGCGTTCTGTGTCCTGAGTGCGTTCTCTATCCTGTTGAGCTCGCACATCTGTGTTTTGGCTCAACTGGTTGAACGTTAATGTGATTTGACGGACTCACCAGCCAATCAGACGGGTCCCCCTCCCCTGCCTTCTGACCCTGGGGCCCTGTGCAGTGGACCCGGCCCCCTGACCCCTCCCCGCTGGGTCAGGTGAGCTCTGCACATGCGGCATGAAGGAAAAGGGATTTCCTGTAGTGGAAGTGGGTAGATTTACACCCTCCACTCAATTAGCTGCAGTGGAACCTCCTGCCCCTGCTGCAACCCCCCGTCCCCCCGAGCGGCTTGCTCTGACTCCTGTCCCACCACTGACCCCTCCTGGCACCCACCGACAACACCCATCCTGAAGAGAGGGACCCGCACAGGACAAATATGCGTTTCTTTTGAATGAGCTGGAAGCGGCAGAAAGTCCTAAGTAGCTCTGAAACTATTTTTCCTGAATTTCTCCTACGGGGATCAATAAAGTATACATCTATATCTATCTATCCATCAGAGAGAACATACACGGCATTGAGTGACGTCAAATAAATAAATGGCTCAAATCCAGCAAAATGTATCTTCATCTGTCTCCTAATTTGCCAATGAGACACGGTAAAATGATCTTGTTTTAAAAGGGATACAATAAATATCTCCCTTGGAATGAGAAGCAACAGTTCATGAAATAAGACTAAATGTTTCTTGTTGGAGAATCTTGTTTTAACACAGACAGAATTTGTCAGATTAAGATAAAAAACGCTAAATCTGATTTATTTCCTCATGTTCGATCCTGTTTTTAGTGTGGAGAGGATTCTGGTGCTGCTTGTCTTGCATTCATTTTCCACAGAATATTATTGGATTATTTTTCATTTTCCCTTTAATCCGTGATGCACACATGATTTGGCAGCTTCCCAAACCCCCCTCACCCTCACCCCCAGCCCCCCCTCACCCTCTGCTGTCAGTCCCTCAACGTTCCACTCAGCTGTGAAATCGGACAAATTGCGGTCACTGTGCGTGAGCTTTTGGGCATGCGTGTGTGTGTGGATGTGTGTGAGTGTTTGGGGCGGGGTGTATGTGTGTGCGTTCGTGAGTGTATGTGTGTGCGTTCGTGAGTGTGTGTGTGCGTTCATGAGTGTGTGTGTGTGTGGGCGGGGTGTATGTGGGGGTATGTGTGTGCGTTCATGAGTGTGTGTGTGTGTGTACATATGGGGTGCTGTTCAGGGCAAAGGGGTCAAGGGGTGATTTTCTGCACCAACACTTCCTCTGTGCTTCCCATTCGCACACACACACACACAAACGCATACACACTCACACACAGACGCATACACACATAGACACACACAGACAAACGCATACACACAGACTCAGACACACTCACACACAGTTTATAATCAGACTTCCTGGTTGAACAGCAGACATTTAGTAAAGAAAGTAGCTGTAAATCTTTTTTAGCATTATAGCATCGGCAAATGGGGACATTCTGAGGCACAGGAGCAGGTTGGAGCTTGGATCTCAGACAGAACTGTTCGAGTCCAGATACAGCTGGTCCTGGAATGTGGACCTGGACATGGGCCTGGAACATGGACTTTGAACGTGTTCCTGGAACGTTGACCTGGAATGACAGGCTGCATCTCTAGATTAAGAGACTTGTGTTGCATCATAAGTTATAGAACAGTAGGAAAGAGGGGCACACAGCACAAGATAAGTGAACAATAGCTATACTTTTTCATACTATACTTAAACAACAACTCTAGCTCTAGCATCAATAACGTATAAAAGTATAAAATTTAAATCTTGAAAATAATAATAATGAAAAGAAGTATAACATTTTTACGTACTGTGTATTCATCTCCAGGGGCTTATCCTCTAAATAAATGAATAGTGCAAGCAATGTGTAGTTATATGTTAGCAGCAGTGTGTTTACATCTGTACATTAGCAGCAGTGTGTTTACATCTGTACATTAGCAGCAGTATGTTTACATTTGTACATTAGCAGCAGTATGTTTACATCTGTACATTAGCACCAGTATGTTTACATCTGTACATTAGCACCAGTATGTTTACATCTGTACATTAGCACCAGTATGTTTACATCTGTGCTTTAGCAGCAGTATGTTTACATCTGTACATTAGCACCAGCATGTTTACATCTGTACATTAGCAGCAGTATGTTTACATCTGTACATTAGCACCAGTATGTTTACATCTGTACTTTAGCAGCAGTATGTTTACATCTGTGCTTTAGCAGCAGTATATATTGCACATTCTGATATAAGGACATTGCAACGATGCATGACACCTGGGATCAAGTTGGCAGTGTTCGTTAGTCCTCATTGCTTGTTGTACAGTCTGACAGCAGCAGGGAGGAAGGACCTGTGAAACCTCTCCTTCACACATCGAGGGTGAATAAGTCTGTCACTGAAGCTGCTCTCCAGAGCAGAGAGAGTGTCCAGCAGGGGGCGACAGTCATGGTCCAGCATAGATGTTAGTTTGTCCAGGACCCTCCTGTCCCCCACCTGCTGCACTGTGTCCAGGGAACAGCCCAGGACTGAGCTGGACTTCCTGATGACCTTGTCCAGCTTCTTCCTGTCCCTCTCTGTGATGCTGCTGTTCCAGCAGACCACACCGTACAAGAGGCTGATGCCACCACAGAGTCATAGAAGGTCTTCAGGAGTGGCCCCTGCACTCCAATAGACCTGAGCCGGCTCTGGCCCTTCTTGAAGAGGGCGTCTGTGTTATGAGTCCAGTCCAGTTTGGTCCCTGTGAGCCTGCTCCTAATCATTCAAACTGGTTCCATCCAAATAAATGGATGATACTTATGCAGCCAGCGGAAATTCAATTTGGTAGACGTCAGCCAAAGGTAACCCCTCCAGGCCGGTTCTCATCCCCAGCCTATCGCACTGCAAACGCCCCCTTCCAATCACCGTACCGGCCAGGCAAGCCGCTTAAAAGCGGAGAAACTCCCCCTCTCGGCCTTCTCGAAGCCTGCAAGCCCTCGAAGCCTTGCAGAGAATCGTCTGGAGGAATCGTTTTCGTCTACTCACGCTACTCGGCGCGACCCTGGCGTCCTCAGTCTGGCTGCTTGTGGTCTGCTCCTCCTCCGCGTCCCTGCACTGGTCTGCTCCTCCTCCGGGTCCCCGCACTGGTCTGCTCCTCCTCCGCGTCCCTGCACTGGCCTGCTCCTCCTCCGCGTCCCTGCACTGGTCTGCTCCTCCTCCGCGTCCCTGCACCTGCTGTGGTTCGCATATCTCCACTGCTCTCCTCCTCTGCGGGCTCTTTCTGCGGGCTGCTCCGCGGGGCCCTCCGCGGGTTCTGTGCGGCTCGTTCCTCGTGGTCTGCTGCCGCGCGCAGAAGGTCTGGCGGTGCCGTGCGTGTCCCTGCCTCGATTGGCGGTGCCGCGTTGTCCCGTTGCTTTTCCCAAGTCTCCCGGCATGTGAGTACAGTGAGTGTGCTGACCGCGGACAGATTAATCCCGGAGTTTTGGGCTGCAGGCGATTGGTTTTTGCCCCGCGCACTTGTCTGCAGGCGTCAGTTTTTTCGCCCCGTGCTTGGTCTGCAGGCTCCGTTTTCACATGTGTCTGAGTTAATCGAGGGGCATCCATCCATCCATCCATTTTCTTCCCTTTAATCCATTTCTGGGTCAGGGGGGTGGCAGTCAGAGATGCCACCCAAGTCTCATAGCACCAGCCCCTCACTGACCCTCTGCAGGTGGTGAGTCCACAGGAGGACGGCTGCTCTCTGAGTGTGAGCATAGCCTTGATCTTTCAGTGGGGGCTTTGGGCAAAGTGGGGTTAAGTGTCTTGCCCAAGGACACAACGACAGCAGTCATCAGTGGGAGTCGGTGGAGAAGGTGTAGAGGTGGGAATTGAACCCACGACCTTCTGGCCTGAAGGCCAATGCTCTACCAACTGAGCTACTGTCGCCCCGAGGGGCAATGCATATTAAATGGCATCAATCTCTATCGTCTGAGGGATATACGAGGAGCTATGTGCATTAATTCAGATTCATGTTCTGCCACTTGCAGTAAAACCATGCATTTAAATAGCTAGGTCGCTGGTATTAAATTAGGTAACTAAACTGCAGTTGTCGCATTTTGAAAGTGCAGCAGAAAGAAAAAGGGCCCAACATGAATCTGCAATGGGTGTGAAGTGGTGTTGGAGCTATGAACGCATGGATCAGTGATCATTCATGCGTATCTGCCATAACCAAAGCAGCAGATGGCTCCAGGGGACGTCTGTTATTCGCATGGGATGTTTCGGATTCGGGTCGAGTTTTTTTCCCTCAGACTGTTAAACAACCATGGGCATGGTTCTCTGACCGCCGCTGATGCCGGTCCCCGCCGCCGTTCCTACTGATGCCTGATCCCGCCGCCGCTGTTCCTGCTGCCGCTCCTGCTGCTGTCTGTCCCTGCTGCCTGCTCCTGCTGCTCCTACTACTGCACGTGCCGCTGCTGCTGTTCCTGCCGCTGCCGCTCCGCAGGCTCCCAGGCTGCACTTGTCTCTACGGCTCGGCTCTTTCAAACACGTACGTAACCTGGCTCACGGTGACAAGCGGCGCACGCTGGCGTGACACGTCTGTTGTTCGTATGACTCGCCTTGTGGTGCTGCTGCTCCCGCTAATGCTGCTTCTGCTGCTTCATACTGCTGCCGCTGCTGCTGCTACTGCTGCCGCTGCTGCTGCTGCTTCATGTACTTTGTCATCTCTCTTCACTTCGCTTCTCTTACTGAAACACTAAACAGCTACAACATATTCTACTGCCGTGGCTTTGATACAGGTTTTTTGCCGTTATTATCTACGGATGCTGCCGCTGCTGCCGCCGCGGCTGATACAGGTCGTTGCCGTTATTATCTGAGGTTACTGCTGCTGCCGCTGCTGCTACTGCTACTGCTACTGCTGCAACCCACTCTCTCAGAAGCTTATCCTGCTTCTAATGGATGCAGCCCGGCCGAGTATGCCGCGCTGCGCTGGACTCGCACCTATGCTCCCAGGGTCGCTTCGGCGGTCATGCTTCATCTCTCTACTTAATCTTCTGATTCTATCAGATGCAGCTGGCCGAGTAGCTGCGCTGAGCCGTCAATCGGACTCCTAATCAAGGCATCCATACCTGTATTCTTCACTCTTCTGATCGCAGGCTCCCCATCATGCTGCCCATCCTGCAGCGGCTCCGAGCGGCGCTGAACTCCGGCTCATCTTCCAAGTACACGTCTGCCCTCCTCGCAGCATCTTCCTGCTCGCCTTCTATGGCTTCTCTGCATAAGCGTTTCACTACTGCGCACTCAACCTTCAGGCGGTCCGAGACACGGTTTTTTCCCGACCATCCTACTATCCTGATTATCTACTCTCCAACCCAAGATTCTAAGCGTAAG